GACCTCATGCGTGGCGTGGCGTGACGCTGCAGGATCACAACAGCCTTCCTGAGCATCGAGAGTCGAACTGTCGAGTACGCTTCTGTTATGCGTCCACACTACAAACTGCAACGTACCAACGATCCGGCCCAAGTTTGGGATGCTAGGTCATTGAGTTGCCCCTACTACCTTGTTTCTTGAGATTTTGGGCGGCACGCGTGCTCGAAGCAACGGCGCACACTAATTAGATGTCTGGTTCCCCACGCCTATCAATCAGCTGCCTTGGCCTGTTGCGGTGTCCGTTGTCAAGTGATATTTTCGCCTTAGGCCGCGAGAGCATTATGATTCCCGTCTTAGTAGTAACACCGAGATGGGACAACAAGGAAAACTTTGCTGTTGCCCTGGCCTGTTCACCGAGGAAGTAAAATTTTTCCCCTGCCTTATTTGTCCAACTGACCAGATAGTTTATCCACTGAGGAAGGCTATTGTTTTAGGGTGAGGGGTATGCCTGTTACAGTATGCGCCAGAATTCGTGCAACATGCCGACATATACAAAAGATTGATACTCTTTCACTAATCGGCATTGACTCGGGTTGTGATACTGATTATCGTGTCGTCTATTCTAAAGTTATTTCAGTCATGATAGGATGCGAGCTTTTTAACGAGCTTTGTTCCGACCACGAACAAATCGTATGTAATTTAAAAACTGGCTACTTAAGTACTATGCCTTTTATAATTTGTTTTGACTGTCTTTTGTAGCTACTGAAATAGTTTGCGTTTTTTTCATTGATTTTGACTGCCTTTATAAATTCAAATATGTTTTATGGAAAACATGAACGAAACAATTATTTCTTGTACTCATTTGGTAGCGAATTACTTCTTTTTTAAATTTTATACTTACAGAAAGGATGTCTTTCGATTTAAAAAAGTTTCTAACTTACCGCATAATTTTATAACCTAGTGACTGCTACACTCGAAGCTAAGGTTTACAAACTGCCCACTGTGCACATCCTGTTTAAGGAAAAGTACGTTGGCACCTACAGTTTGAGGAAGAAGTTATATATTTCTCATAAAATGTTGCAATAGGTGCGGAACATGCTTTATTCAGTAAAGACAGCATTAATAACTTTACAGATACGATATATTATGAATGAGCATCTCACAATCGTAAAATGCTCATAATTAGACATTTTTTAAAACCGAAAGATACCCTTTCTTTAAGTGTACAATTTAAAGGAAGCGTAATTTGCTACCAAATGAGTACAAAAAATAAACTTTTCTTTGATGTTTTCCATAAAATATATTTGCATTTACAAAGGCAGTCAAAATCAATGATAAATAAGCATACTAGTTAAGTAGGTAATTTTTACAGTACACACGTTCTTTTAGTGGTCAGAAAGGAGCTCGTTAAAAAGCTGGCATCCTATCATGACTGAAATACCTTGAGAATAGGCTACACTATAATCAGTATCACAACCTGAGTCAATGCCGATTAGCGAGTGAGAATATCAA